ATGATTTATTTTTTACAGTTTTGAGAGGTTTTAGTTTATACTCAATTGGCTCCAAGGCAAGATGGCATTGCAGGGTCGCCTTTTATGGTGGCTGCAAAAGAACAAGCTGAAACCGGCAGAAGAGCAAGACATGCCTTTTTCCTGCCATTACATCACATCCTGTCTCCTTCTCTATGTGGGTGTAGCACTGACACCATCAATCCAAGCACTATACAATAAACAATCACAGATGCATAATGTAAATGTATCAGGCCTGGGGGCTACCAACATAAACCATGACACTGTTCTGAGCAGTATTGTGGTGGCCTGAACTGTGCACAATTCAAGAAAAATTCCATTCCACAACAAATAATCCCCTGGAATTAAACATGTTTTACCTATGCCTTTCCAATCATTTGGGGCCATAACTTGCTATCCTAGGAGCTCTATGAAACCCAAGGTAAATGGGGCTGTAGGGCCATAGGTAGAGGTAGTGTTTTTTAATTCTTTTTATGACTTAAATGGTACAGCCTAATGATGGCATATTACTTGCCCCAGATTATTGGTGACTCTTAGTTCTGAAACTGGGTAGATGTTTTCCCCTGCCTGTCTGGCTTCCTTTAGTGCTAACTGCAAAGGAGACAGACAGAAGGGCTCTACTTCCTGAGAGGTGAAAGTTCCAACCTCTGATGCAACAACTTTTGTTGGAGCTAAAAAAGCAGGAGTTGCCGCTTGTGGCTCAGTTAAAGTTACCTGGGTGGAAGTCATGCTGCCACGTTTTTCCTGCCTAAGGCTGTATTCTGAAACAGTATTTGGAACCAGTTTCTTTATAGTTGTCTCAGGAAGCTTAAGATTAAGACCCTGTCTCATCCAGATCCAGAGAAGGAACATAAATACTGGAGTCAAGCATAAAACAAACACATCCTTATACATTTGTGATTCTTTTGGATAAGTTTGTCTCATAGTTAGACAGCTGATATAATCAATATACCTCTTTTTTTTTTTTGTTTTGTTTTCAGAGGAGGGGGTTTCTCTCAAGCATGTTTATAATTGGCCCTAGAGAATAAAGGAGTTTCAGTACCCCCATCTTTACATTGATGAAGGCAATATCACTCCAGTGATGACTATTGACCTTACCAATGCATTTCTTCTCCTAAGTTGCATGCATGTGAGAAGTGTCCTCCTCCCCCTCAATCTCTTACCCTATCCGTGTTCTGGTGCCATATGTCATGACCAAGTGAAACTCCTGAGGTTCTTGGGGTTAAGGACTGCGAGAGGATGAGAAAAATAAAGTAGAGACAAAGCTGGGGTCAAGTGGAACCCTTATCCTCCTGATTGGAGGAAAAGAACTGCTCAACCACTGTAGCACATATATACCCTTCAAAGAAGAATGTCAGTTTCAACCCCACTGCCTAGCAACTTGTTTGTCTGACAGGCCTGGGCCCCTTGCCTTCTTGGTGCTTGAACAGCTTGTTTACATAGCTGGTTTTGGTCTCTTTGTGTTTTCTGGGCTGGCCTTGCTTCAGCCTCACACGTGATCAATCTCCAGCTTCAGCTGCTTCCTACAGCATTGTATCTGAGGTACTAATGAGAATAAATGAAGGAAATAAACATGGAATGCACATTCTGAATTTTAAGGTGGCTTAGGAAAATGAAAGCAGAAGCACTATAACCAAAGTATGAAATGTCACTTGCTTATAACACACACAATATATGTAATGTGGAAACTTCTAGCAAACAAACATGGTCTCAGTACACTATCTGCAGTCTTTCCAATCTGAAGACTCCAATCCATGTTGTTCCCTTTCTCAATTCTAATGTAGAATTCTGTGGGGTAAAATTAACAATCTGGAAAGGTTTGAAGTAAAAAGACCGAGGATGTGATGTTGACCCTGAGAAACAAGTAAATTGTCCTAGTGTTCAGGAAACACAATGCTGCCAAAAGTCTGGAAGTCATAGTACTTACTCTCAGATTTGGTCAAGGTCTCAGAGAGTCTCTTTTAGCTACGATTTCATGGTTACATAGAAAGTCAATTCTTTAGACAGTAAAAAGAGGCCAAGGTAATTAAGATTTTAGACAATAAAGGTACTTTCAGTACCTTAATAAAACGAATCAATGACCCAACTATATGTATGCTATATGTTCTGCCCAGGCTGCTAGTATAAGAAGATACAAAAATTAGAAGGTAACACATGCGAAGATAGTTTTAAAACTGCAGGTGCAAAAAAGGAAAAAGCTTTAAACATGTTGTATTTCCTTAGAACAGCCTTTTTTGAAAAGTAATGCAAGGAAGAAATGGAAGGAGAAAACCACCTATATCAGCAGAATCTGTTATCTTATAAGTTCTATTTTTAATGCCTTCCCAAAAGGACATTACAGCTCTTCATATTTATTGCAAACATGTCTTAAAGTCAGCCTTATTTCTGAAACTATTAGACAAATTTTTAACTATTGACACTATACTATAAGGTATAGAGAGCATCTTAGTTAAATGAAAAAGGGTAATATTTCATTGGGAGATCAGATATTTTCTTCTCATATCCATATCTAATAGTGGTATTTTACTGTCTAGTTTCTAAACAAATGCAGATTTTGTTTTAAAAAGTTGAAAACTTTGTGTTGTTCAAGAATCCTCTTATCTGAATACCACACAGGTTGTTTTGTAGCAGATATTTGTTTGTCAAGCTTCAAATCTAAATGCTAAGTTCTGAATTTGGTATCATTCAGTGATTTGTTTCCCCTTACTCTGGAGACTGGTGGCGTATGCTGCTGTGAGGTCACCCTGTTGCTACTCTCTTCTCACAGTTGGATCCACTAGGAAGGATCATTCATGTACTTAAGATGCAAGGCTAGGCAAAACCCTCCCACAAATCCACTGGTTAGCACAGTGTTCTGTTTGATAAATTCTGTTAATTTTTTTATTACATTATTGATTTCAGTTACTGCTTTATTTGCTGGTTTCTAAATCTTGCCTTTTTCTTTGCTTACATCTTTTTCAACTCTCCCATTTGATCTAGAAATAGCTACTGAGACTGGCAGTCTGTAGGGGAAGAAATCCACCACCTACCATTGCTGCAAGTTTTCTAACTTTCTGAAACAAAAATTCTGCGCAGCAGCCAGTCATGCCATCTGTTAGAATCTGGGTAGCTGCTGAGTATATTTCTACCATAGGTGTGATTGGTTACTAAACACTCGATTCCACCAGGGGTATCTTCTTGTACCCTAAATCTAAGACTTTGTTATACTTCTCATTATGTTTATGTTTTGGGAAGGCTGTCCCAAACCCCATGACACTGCTGATGACCTGTTCTGGGGTGATCCCTGCCTCCCTACCTCCCTGCACATTAAGGGCCATTGTAGGCTGAGGGAGAAATCTATGGTCTTTTCTTTTCCTTCTTCCTCTTTTTCTCTTCTCCTCTTCCTTCTCTGTCTTCTAGGTGTCTTCTGTCCCTACCTACCTCTCAGTGCAGGATATACCATGCAGGTTCACGACTTTGCGGATGGGGAAGGGCAGTTGGCTCACAGCCCACTGAGAGTTTATGTTAACTGTTGTATGTTACCCTCCACACCTGAGTCCTGGACCACTCCTTATCCCTGTAGAATTTCTGTAACCATTGCAACTAATTTTTGTGTGTTTTTGCATCTGTTTGCTGAATTTATGGGCTGTAGTAGGTGATTTTTTTTTTTGTACACTCTTTAAGGTTTCTGCATGTCACATGTGAACAGAATTTTTTTTCCATTGTGATCTATTTTCTTTTTTTTGCCTAATTATCATGCCCAGATCTTCAAATATTACATGATGCAGACATTCTTGTCTTATTTTTGCTCTTCCAGGAAGTTTTTGGTCTTTCAACAATTAGTATAATTATGTATTTTTTTGTTTGCTTTTTCTTTTAATTGGTTTTCTTAGGTTGAAGCTTGCATCTATTCCCAGTGTAAATTCCCTATGGTAATGGTGCATAATCTCTTTAATGTAGTGTATAATGTAGGTATTTCATAGTATTTTGTGGATAATTTTTACATTTATCATCAAAAGTAGTGTGTTTTTGCTTTGGAATCAAAGTATTGTTGACTTTCTACAGTGTGTTTGGACGTGTTCATGTTATTGTTCAGGAGAGCATAAAGGACAGGTGTTAGTTTTTCATTAAGTGTTTTAGTTTAATTCACCAGTAAAGCCACCAGACCCAAGGCATTTCTTTTTTGATCAGTTTATTTGATTATTGATCTAGTCTCCCTGGTATATGTGACTATATTCAATTTTTCTATTTCTTTATTACCTAGTCTTAGGTTTTGTGTACCTGGGAATTTGCCAATTGTTATGCAATAATTTTAGTACTATGTTATGGTGCTTTGTATTTCTGTAGTACTGGTAGTAATTCCCCCACTTTTATTTCTAATTTTAGTGATTTGATTCTGCCAGTTTTTCTTAATTTATTTAAGGATTTATCAATTTTGGCAACAATTTCAAAGAACCACCTTTCAGTTTCCTTGATTTGTTTCATATTTTTTGTGTTATACTTATTTTGTCACCTATTTCTTTCTTTATTAGTTTTGTGTTTAATTTTTTCCTCTGTAGGTCCTTAGGATGTTAAGGTAGATTGATGAATCTTTTTGATATATTTAACAAGATATATTTCCACCTAACAGTGCTTTTGTTGTGTCCCAAAAGTATAGTTGTATTATGTAGGGAGCCTGGATCTACAGTTTATAGCATCACATATCAACCGCTGATACTATTTTGCTAAAAACAGTGTACAAGGAAATGAGTTTTAGAACAAGCCTCTTACCTTGGGCCATGCCTCCTCCTTAGTCTTGAGTCTGGGAAGAAGGCCTGCTGTCCTCTATAACCTTAAGGGTCCTGTTTTGTAGAGCAGCTGCTTCCATGATCTAAGCCCAGCTCCCTTTGCCAGAAAACAGCTCCATGCACTGATTATTTCCTGTATCAGATATGGTTTTGTGATTGTGTTGACCTCTCCTAATAAATGCAATATGTACTTCATTGTTACTTTTTTGCTTTCAGGTTGTTCATGTGGAGTGGATGATGAGGTGGCACCTTCTGAGTTGGGTCTTTATGTGGACTTGTCACGGGTCATGACTCTAAAAGAAGGCTTATCTTCCCAGAATGCCTACACTTATGAAATTTGTGGCCTGGTTTTGGGAGAGATGCTGTGTTTGGCTCAGCACCATGAAACACACTGTCGGAAAAAACCATACAGCTGTGGGAAACAATTCTACTTCATGAATAATCTTCGCCAGCACCAAAGGCAGCACCTTAAAGAGGCATCCTTTGGAAGCTTTGTGGACAGACACTCATTTATAAAGAGCTGCATGGTCCATGTGTCAGGGAGACCTTTTACTTGCAAAGGAGTTGAGAAGAGCTTCCTGGCCCGCATGAGATTTCCCTGTCCACAAGCCATTCACACAGGAAAGAAACCAAGTAACTACCAGATGGCCTTTCACAGTGGGAAAAGTCATCATAACTCAGGAAAATGCAATAAAACCTTCAGTGACACAAACACATTGGTTCAGGACCAGGGAGTCCTAACCAGGAAAAGGCTTTTTGAGTGCAACAAGTGTGGGAAAATCTGTACACTAAGAAGAAATCTAATTCAGCACCAGAGAATCCACAGTGAAGACAGGCCTTATAAATGCAGTGAGTGTGGAAAATTCTTTACCTACTATTGCCGCTTCATTATCCATCAGAGAATTCACACTGGAGAAAGGCCTCATGAGTGTAATGAATGTGGGAAATCCTTCCGTCAGATGTACAGCCTCAACAAACATAAGAAAGTTCATACTGGAGAAAGGCCTTATGAGTGTGGTGAATGTGGGAAATTGTTTAGCCAAAGATCCAACCTCATTCTACATCAGACTGTTCACACTGGAGAAAAGCCTTATGAGTGTGATGAATGTGGGAAATCCTTCCGTCAGATAGACAGCCTCAGAAAACATAGGAAAGTTCACACTGGAGAAAGGCCTTATGAGTGTGGGGAATGTGGGAAAGCATTTAGCCGAAGATCCAACCTCGCTGTACATCAGACTGTTCACACTGGAGAAAAGCCTTACAAATGCAGTGAATGTGGGAAATCTTTTAGCTGGAACCTCAGCCTCGTACACCATCAGAGGGTACACACTGGAGAAAGGCCTCATGAGTGCAGTGAGTGTGGGAAATCCTTTATCCAAAGATCCAACCTCCTTCACCACCAAAGACTTCACACTGGAGAGAGGCCTTATAAGTGTACTGAGTGTGGGAAGTCTTTTAAGGACAGGTCCAGCTTCAGTTCACATTGGAAAGTCCACACAGGGGAAAGGCCTTATGTGTGTGGAGAATGTGGGAAAACTTTTAGCCGTAGCTCCAGCCTTAGGAAGCATGAGAGAGTTCACAGTGAAGATAGGCCTTTTAAGTGCAAAGAATGTGAAAAATCCTTTAGGTATAAATATAACCTCTTTAAACACATAAGAGTTCACACCAGAGAAAGGCCTTATGAGTGCAGTGAATGTGGGAAGTCATTTAGCCAAACTTCTGACCTCATTCAGCACCAGCAAATTCATACTGGAAAAGGACCTTACCAGTGTAGTGAATGTGGGAAATCCTTCAGCTCCAAATCTGTTCTCACTAAACACCAAAGAATTCACACTAGAGAAAGACCTTAACTGTTTATGGAACACTCATTCCTTTTACTGTCGTTACTCTGGAGCAAAGCATGTAAGAGCTGTCAATCTCAATTGAGCCCTCAAGCTGTGATGACGTCATGGGGAGAATTCTTTTTACTTCCATTCCATAAAGCTTAAAGCAGCTGTGTTTAACTTTCTAACTTGTGCAGAGGTCTTGCCATTTGTCATGTTTTGAGGAAGAGAACATAGGACTTCCACACTTGCAGTCTATAGTGCAGCAATCACCATTCCAGCTTGACAGAGGAACTGACCTATACTTCCCTTTTACTGGATGAAGTGATGATGGATCTGAGCTTTCATTCCTGTTCTGCAAGTTAGGGCTTGAACTTGATCTAGATAATACTGAAGACCCACTTAAGTGTGTTTGGGCAGCTTGTCAGGAAGAGCTCTTCTGACTGGATTTCTTTCCAGCCTCTTGAGTCACCAACCTGGAAACTACCTGCTTATATTATTTTGATTTTTGTAATAATAAAATCTTCATTTAAGTTACTTCAGTCTTGGAGTTCTATTTACTGTGTGAGATGTCTTCAAGACAATAAATAATTTATGGGTGAGTGGGGGATATAATTGAGGTCATTTGGTGCCTTAGGAGGAATAATGTAAAAATGTAGCTGTCTTCCCTAATTTGGCTTCTAGGCTTCTTGAGTTGTGGATTGAGTTCGAGAACTTTTTATGGGCTCTGAGAACACTTTTATGAGGCACCCACATTGTTCCTGGGAAGAAGACAAATTATTCTTAGATTTCTCTTTTTTCCCTGAGTTTCTTGTTTGTTTACTTGTTTTTTTGCTTTTTGCTTACAGTGGATACATATAGTGTCTAGCACCATGGAGATCAGTGTCTGCTCTAGATTCTGCAAAGGAGTCAAGTGCCCTCATACCCATAATTCATTAAGCTTATGTCATTCTAAGATTACAAGGACCAGAGAAAATTATAATTGGTAACAAAACCCTGGATTTGTGAGGAGTGATGGAGACAGCAGCAAAGTACATGCAATTTGGTCCTTGTAAAACTGTGGGGTGTGCACAAGAATTCTCATGATCTTCACAGATGTTTATCTGATCCGTAGCTGAAGTCATTGTCAGCAAAAAGCTAAAGGTTTCATGTACTTTTTTCCAGTGTACTATTTGTAGTGTTCGCTTTTATGGGCCAGGAACACACACCTAGAGAGAAAAATGACTTACTCTAACGCAGTGGGCTTGTGGCCAGACCATCATCCTATGTGGGGATGAACTGTGTTACTCACTAATGCTTGCTGCCACTGGGGCAAGGTTGCCTCTGCAGAGTCATCAGAAAAGAAATGGAGTCAGTCTTAGGTTAGCAAACTTTATAAAAAGCCTGTAAACCATGATTGTAACTACTGCAATGAATATATAGGTGACCTCTAGTTTTATCTCATCCCTTTTTTAATCTCTTCATCACATCTTTGACCTTCAAACCATTAATTTTCTTTACATAACAGATTGCATTTTCTGTGATTTTGTATGACTTCTGACAATATGTTTTTTCTTGTTTCTGATAGGATTATTTCCAGAAGATGAAGAATATTCCCAAAAGATGAGTATAAATCAAAAGAGGCCTTTATTCTGGGAACATGGAGAGAGAGGACTGGCACGCTGGCCACTGAAATCTGGTGATCTCTCTCATGCGGACACGTGGCGTGCGGGAATATAAGTAGCCTAAGCTTAGGGCAGTGCCCTAAGGCCATTAGAGATGCAGAGGTATTTCATTGGCACATGTTTGGCGCCAGGGGCAGATTCCGAAGGGTGGGGGGGTATAGGGTTACAGGTAAATCTCTAGGGGTGGGGGAGACAGGAGCTCCCTAATTCCGACCTGAGGCTTTTTCTGGCTATAGTGTCCAGTCTGGGTCAACAACCCTTTCATATCCTGTCTTATGATTATTATGAAAAGGGGCGAAGATTTCTCTACTTCCTGCTGGCAGGGGGCGCTGTAGGAGTTGACAGGAGTCGACTAAGGGAGTCGACGGGATGACGGTTGATGCCCAGGTAGAACCTGACACCAGGTGTTTTAGCCAGGACAACTTCACTGGTGAATGTACGTATGTCAGACTGGAAAAACAAAGAGACATGATGTTATTAGGAGACATGGCACTGTCATATTTAAGGACCCAGGTGAGGTAGAGAGGTGCCTTTGATTTAGACATGTTATTTTATCAGGATGACGTTGAGGTAGGATCATTATCACAGTGAGGTAGAATTCTGAAAAAGAAGTGTGAGGTTAGAAGGAGTGAAATTATGAGAGGTGATTACTCCCCCATCTGAAAGCATAAAAGTTAGGAGGGTAGGTGTGTAAAACTTGTCTCCGGTCTAGGAGTTGAGCTGGAAAAAATAGGGGGAGTAGGGGAGACAGTGGCTGTACCAGTATAGGGAAGGTAAGGGCTTAGGCTTTCAGGGATGTCACATTTAACTAAACAGCTGAGGGTAGAAAGAACATGACAGTTACACATAGAACATTATGAAGATGATCTTACGCGTGATGTGGGAGTCTCTAGGAAAGACTGTCAAGAGTCCTGCTGTAAAAATGATCATTAATAGAACGTAAGAGATTAGGAACCAAACTGGATAACAAAACAAGACTTAGCCTGTTAACTGTGGCTGTGAGGCCTTCGTGAAACGGAGATGGGTGAGTGACAGAAGATGAGATGACCACTCAGAATGATCTGATTTAGGGCTGGGAGGGCACCTCCTAGCCTGAGTGATGTGAAACCAGGATGGGAGTCCAGCAACTCTTGACTGCTGTAGGGGTAGCCAAGTAGACCAGGTAAGGGCCACTCCACCTTGGTTGTAGTCCTGTGAATTTAGAACATTTGAGATAAATTAGATCTCCTGGGGATATGGGAGGATCTGGTTTGGCCTCTCCAGAGGGTTGTGGAAGGCAGAGATCAGCATGTTGTCACAACAAGTGTCAGAGGAAGGAGAGGACTGGGACATAGTCAGCAAGGGGAGGGAGATTTTGGGGAGTAGGAAGATTGTGGAGTAAGAATGGCCTGCCATACATAAGTTCAAAAGGAATTAAGAAAGTAGGAGCCCAGGGAAGTGCCCTGAGCTTAGCTAAGGCTAAGGGCAAAAGTTGAGGCCAAGATTGGTGTAGTTCTAAAGTGAGTTTTGTAAGGTGTGTCTTTATGAGGCCATTTGCCTTTTCTACTTTTCCTGAGGATTGAGGATGGTATGGGATGTGTAGGTGCCAGGTGATGTGTAAGCTCGAGGATACCTGTTGAGTGATCTGAGAAATAGAGGCGGGACCATTATCTGACTGAATACTCTGAGGTAGACCAAATCTCGGAATGATTTCTTGTAATATGATTTTGGTAACTACATCAGCAGTTTCTCTGGTTGTGGGAAAGGCTTCTATCCATCCTGAAAAGGTACAAACAAAGGTGAGAAGATATTTGAGAGTCTTGTGGTGGGGCATGTGTGTAAAATCTATCTGCCAGTCCTGACCAGGGGTGTGTCCCCGAAATTGATGGGTAGGAAAGGAAGGGGGTGTGAGTAATCTTAAGAATGATATTGGGGCTAAGAGTTTGTATAGGGCCTGTGATCCTATATGAAAACAGTTGGGTAAGTCGGTGATGATGTCTGAGGCCTGGTGATGTGGGAGAACAAGTTTAGATCCCTGAAGAATACATCCCTGAGTTTTGTGTGTAACCTGGTTTATGAAGTAGTTGTAACTGCTCTGGTGAATAATTGGGCTGAGGTAGACTGTTTGGGACTAATGGGAGAAGATGAGAAGGGCAGGGCCTTTGTGCAACTAACTTGGCTTATGAGTCTGCAAAGGCATTGTCTTGAGCAATAGAATCTGTAGAGTTCTGGTGTCCTCTGCAATGAATAACTGCTGCCTGCTTTGGAAGTTGGGCTGCCTCTAGAAGCTTAAGGATAAGGGGAGCATTAATAATGGGGGTTCCCTGAGTGGAAATAAAACCCCGTTCTTGCCAGAGAGAGGCATGAGAGTGTAACATGCTAAATGTATACTTTGTGTCAGTGTATATATTTATAATCTTGTCTTTTGCTAGTGTAAGGGCCCTTGTAAGGGCAATAAGTTCTGCTCTCTAGGAAGAGGTCCCAGGTGGCAGTGGATTTACCTCTATAACTTTTGACTGGTTAACTGTTGCGTATCCTGCCTTCTTTTGGTTGTCTGTGTTTGTTGAACTGCCATCTATGAACCATGTGTCAAAGGCCAAGAAGAGAGGTGTGCTACTGATGTGAGGGAAAGGAGTGGGAGTCATCTGTAAAAACTCTATACAGTCGTGGTGAGGATGGCCTCTGAGGTGGGAAGTAAGGTGGCTATATTAAGAGGACCACTAGTTGCAATAGAGATGCAAGGGTCTTGAGAGAGAGCTAAGTGTACCTGTTGAAGGTGAGAAGGGGTCATTAGGGCAGGGAGCACCTTATGTGAGATAAGGTCACGTAGGTGATGAGGTGAGTGTACTGTAATAGATTGTCCTAATGTAAACTTTTTAGTTTCCTGTGTCAGGAGGGCTGCAGCTGCAAGAGCGCAGAGATAAGGAGCCCATCCTTTTACTGTGTGATCTAACTGTTTTGACAAGTAAGCTACTGCTTGAAAAGAAGGTCCCTTTTTGTGTCCTAGTACACCTATAGCGTTGTGGCCCTGACAAATAGTGTATAGGATGAAAGGCTGGGTGGGATCAGGAAGGGTAAGAGCTGGAGCTTTTAGGAGAGCCTCTTTTAATTCTTTTAATTTTTGAAAGGAGGCATGTATGGGCCTAGTAGGATCCAGGGGTTCTGATAAGGGACCCTTAGCAGCCTTGTAGAGGGATTGAGCTAGGGCTGCAAAGTTAGGAATCCAGAGACGAAAGAAATTAGCTAAACCTAGGAAAGATGTAACCTGCCGTTTAGTTGTGGGCACCTGGAGATCACGAAGAATTGCCTTATGATCTGAGGTGATGGAGCGAGTGGTGGGGTGAGAGCGAGACCTAGGTATTTGACTTTTGGGGAGGCTATCTGGGCTTTGGCGGGAGACACCCTGTATCCATAACTAGCAAGGAAATTAAGAAGACTGGCTGAGTGGCGTATGGCTAACATATGGGATGGAGAACATAATAGGAGGTTGTCTATGTATTGAAGAAGAACACTAGCTTTGAGATGGAGTTCTGTGAGGACAGTAGCAAGAGCCTGACTAAAGGAGTGGGGACTATCCCTGAACCCCTGGGGGTGCATTGTCCAAGTAAGTTGTTGAGACCTGAGAGTGTCTGGGTCAGTCCATGTAAATGCAAAGAGGTTCTGGCAATTAGAGTGTAGGGGGATAGTGAAGAAGGCATCTTTAAGATCTATAACTGTAAAGTGAGTAGTGGAGGGAGGATATGAGAGAGCATGGTATAAAGATTTGGTACCACTGGGTAAGTTGGGGTAACAGCACTGTTAATTACCCTAAGGTCCTGCACCAGGCGATAGGACCCATTAGTCTTGAGTACCGGGAGAATGGGAGTATTGTGGGGTGAGTGGGTAGGTTTAAGG